CCATTCATCCCTAATGAGCACCTAGGTTGCTTCCAAGTCTTGGCTGTTATTAATAAGGCTGCGATGAACATAGGGGTGCATGCATCTTTACCCTTATCTTCTTTGGACCAATACCCAGCAGTGGAATAGCTGAATCATATGGTAGTTCTATTCTTAATTTTTTGAGGAATTCCACACTGTTTCCATAGTGGCTGCACCAGTTTGCACTCCCACCAGCAGTATACAAGGGTTCCCTTCTCTCCACATCCTCTCCAACACTTGTTGTTTCCTGTCTTGTTAATTATAGCCATTCTGACAGGAGTGAGGTGATATCTCATCGTAGTTTTGATTTGTATTTCCCTGATAGTTAGTGATGTTGAACACCTTTTCATGTGCCTATTGGCCACCTGTATATCTTCTTTGGATAAATCTCTGTTCAGGTCTTTTGCCCATCTTTTAATTGGGTTGTTAGATTTTTTGTTGAGATGTAGCAGTTCTTTGCATATTTTGGATATTAACCCCTTATCAGATACAGGTTTGCAAAAAACTTCTCTTCTAGAAGTTTAATGGTTTCAGGTCTTACACTCAAGTCTTTAATCCATTTTGCATGTGGCTGTCCAGTTTTCCCAACACCATTTATTGAAGAGATGCTCCTTTCTCTGTTGTATGCTCTTGGCTCCCTTGTCAAAAATTAGCTGTCCATAGATGTGTGGGTTTATTTCTGGGCTCTCGATTCTGTTCCATTGATCCCTGTGTCTCTTTTTGTGCCAGTACCATGCTTTTTTGGTTACTATAGCTTTGTAGTATATTTAGAAATCAGGGATTGTGATACCTCCAGCTTTGTTCTTTTTTCTCAGGCTTCCTTTGGCTATTCAGGGGTTTTTTTTGTTCCATATAAATTTTAGGATTCTTTGTTCTGTTTCTCAGAAAAGTGCTGTTGGTACTTTGATAGGGATTGCATTGAATTTGTATGTTGCTTTGGGAAGTATGGACATTTTAACTACGTTAATTCTTCCAATCCAAGAGCACGGAATATCTTTCCATTTCTTTGTGTCTTCTTCAATTTCTTTCAACAATGTTTTATAGTTTCTGTGTACAGATCTTTCACCTCTTTGGTTAAATTTATTCCTAGATATTTTATTCTTTTTGTTGCAATTGTAAATGCGATTGTATTCTTAATTTCTCTTTCTGCTACTTCATTGTTAGTGTATAAAAACACAACTGATTTTTGTATGTCAATTTTGTATCCTGCAACTTGACCATATTCATTTATTATTTCTAAAAGTTTTTTGGTAGATTCTTCGGGGTTTTCTACATAAAAAATCATGTCATCTTCAAATAATGACAGTTTCATTTCTTTCTTTCCAATGTGGATCCCTTTTATTTCTTTTTATTGCCTGATTGCTCTGGCTAGGACTTCCAATACGATGTCAAATAAGAGTGGCGAAAGTGGGCATCCTTGTCTGGTTCCTGTTCTTAGAGGGATAGCTCTCAGTTTTTCCCCATTGAGAATGATATTAGCTGTGGGTTTGTCATATATGGCCTTTATTATGTTGAGGTACTTCTATACCCATTTTATTCAGAGTTTTTATCAGAAATGGATGCTGTATCTTGTCAAATGCTTTCTCTGCATCTACTGAGATGATCATGTGATTTTTATTCTTCATTTTGTTACTGTGGTGTATCAGGTTGATTGATTTGTGGATGTTGAACCATCCCTGCATTCCTGGAATAAATCCTACCTGATCATGGTGTATGATCTTTTTAACATATTGTTGTATTCAATTTGCTAGTATTTTGTTGAGGATTTTTGCATTGATGTTTATCAGTGATATTGGCCTGTAATTTTCTTTTTCTGTGATGTCCTTGTCTGGTTTTGGTATCTAGGTAATGTTGGCTTCGTAGAATGAGTTAGAAAGATTCCCCTCCTCTTCAATTTTTTGGAGGAGTTTGAGAAGGATAGGTATTAAGTCTTTGAATGTTTGGTAGAATTCACCAGGGAAGCCATCTGGTCCTGTACTTTTATTTTTGGGGAGTTTTTTGCTTACTGTTTTGTTTTCCTTACTTGTGATTAGTCTATTCAAATTCTCTATTTCTTCTTGGAAAGTCTTCTATTTCAAATTATTTTATTTCAGTTTTGGAAGGTCGTATGATTCTAAGAATTTATGCATTTCTTCTAGATTATCCAATTTGTTGGTGTATAGCTTTCATAGTGTTCTCTTATAATCTTTTGTACTTCTGAGATGTCCATTGTAATTTCTCCTCTTTCATTTCTGATTTTATTTATTTGAGCTTTCTCTATTTTTTTTCTTGATGAGTCTCGCTAAAAGTTTGTCAATTTTGTTTATCTTTTCAAAGAATCAGCTCTTGGTTTGATTGATTTTTTCTATTGCTTTCTTAGTCTCTATTTCATTTATTTCTGCTCTGATTTTTATTATTTCCTTCCATCTGGTCTAATGTGTCATTTAAGGCCAATGTTTCCCTATTGATCTTCTGATTGGATGGTCTATCTATTGGTGTAAGTGGAGTGCTAAAGTCCCCTACTATTATTATGTTGCTGTCTATTTCTCCTTTTATGTCTGTTAATAATTGCTTTATGTATTTAGGTGCTCCTATTTTGGGTGCATAGATACTGACATGTGTTATATTCTCTTATTGGATTGTTCCCTTTATCATTATGTAGTGCCCTTCTTTGTCTCTTGTTACAGTTTTTGTTTTAAAGTCTATTTTGTCTGATATAAGTATTGCTACCCCAGCTTTCTTTTCTTTGCCATTTGCATGGGACATCTTTTTCCATCCCCTCACTTTCAGTTTGTGGGTGTCTCTTGTATGCAGCATATATATGGGTCTTTTTTTAATCCAGTTGGCCACCAATGTCTTTTGATTGGAGCATTTAGTCCATTAACATTTAAAGTAGCTACTGATGAATATGTACTTATAGCGATTTTGTTACTTTTTTTCTGGGTGTTTTAGTAGTTCTTCTCTGTTCCTTTCTTCTTCTCTTGCTCTCTTCCCTTGTGGGTTGATGGCTTTCTTTAGTATTATGTTTGGATTCCTTTCTCTTATTTATTTGTGTATTTGTTTATTTATTTATTTTAAGATTGGCACCTGAGCTAACATCTGTTGCCAATCTTTTTTTTTCTTCTTCTCCCCAAAGCCCCCCAGTAGATAGTTGTGTCTTCCAGTTGTAGGTCCTTCTGGTTGTGTTATGTGAGATGCTGCCTCAGTGTGGCCTGATGAGTGGTGCCATGTCCACACCCAGGATCAGAACTGGTGAAACCCTGGGCTGCCGAAGGGGAGCCCATGAACTTAACCACTTGGCCATGGGGCTGGCCCCTATTTGTGTATTTATTATAGGTTTCTGGTTTGTGATTACCATGAGGTTCATATATAATAATCTACATATATAGCAATCTGTGTTAAGTTGGTCTCTTTAGTTTGACTTCTTTCTAAAATCTCTCCTCTTTTGCTCCCCTCCTCCCACATTTTATGTTTTGGATATCCTGACCTAGTTTCTTAATTCTAGGTTTCATTTTTCAACACGAAGTTACCATCCAACCTTCTCTTAGATGGTCCCTGCTTTCTGTGAAATTCTAGTCCCTATTCAAAGGGGTGATTTAAGTCCATAGTTGTCCATCTTGGCTTCACATGGACTCACTGGGAAGCTCCCAGCCTGGGTCCCTCTACTCCCGCCCGCCACCAAGACTCTGACATAACTGGTCTGGAATGCAGCCTGAGCCTCACGATTTTTAAAAGTCAAAGCTGGGAACCACTGCTTTAATAAGGGTGGGCTTTGGGTAGGGAGGTCTTCCCAGACATCATTCCCACATCAGCCCCCTGACTTTCCAAGAGGACATTAGGATTAGAAAGGGGAAGTGAGGATCGACGATGGGGAGATGCATGAAAAAAGGGAAACAGGGGCTGACCCCATGGTGTAATGGTTAAATTCACGAGCTCTTCTTCAGCAGCCCAGGGTTCGCAGGTTCAGATCCCAGGCACGGACCTAGCACCACTCGTCAAGCCAAGCTGTGGTAGCGTCTCGCATAAAATAAAGGCAGATTGCCACAGATGTTAGCTCAGCAACAATCTTCCCCAAGCAGGGAAAATAAAAGCAGAGAGAGGGGTAGGGGAGAAGGAAGAAGATGACTGTGTCTTCATTGGGAAAATGCATGAGAAGGGCTAGCTTTCCCCATCTCATAAGGAGCTACAAGAAATGATAGACAAGACAAGTTAGCCCACCAAGACCATTCAAGGAAGGAGGTTACACAGCTGTGCAACGTATCCTTACTGAGGCTGACACAGGAGTGCAATGAACACTTGAGGCCACAACGCCTGCTGAGAGTCAACCATTTTCAGAATCCCACCTTCATGGAGCAGGTGAGGGTGGGCGGCCATCACACCCAGGCCAGGCAGCAGCACATTGTAAGCCGGCTAGGGCCACAAGGCGTCTGGCTGGGGTGCGCATCCCCATCTGCAAGGAGAGCTTATCTGGTCTGTGTTTGTGAACCTTAAGATACGTGGTGAACCTTTCAGATCGGAAGGGTGTTGTCGTGTTTAGCTTTGCTGAGAAGGTGCAGGAAGGTGAGAGGGTATTCAGGGAGAAGCTATAAGTGCCAACCCATCACACCGACTATGAGCCACGTGTAAGCAACGCCACTTTGCTGCCTGACACCACGCTACGTTGAATGCAGTGTCCTCCTTGTTCAAAGGTTCTAGTATATCTCAGTTCTATCTAGAAATTTACTCTTGGAGTCATTCAAACTTGGACATCGGCAAATTGAAAACTACCCACAAAATGTTTAACATAAAGTTAACTGAGTAGGAAAGTGAAAGTGTTTAGAACATTTACAGGAGAGTATTTTTTTCATCTTTACTTTGGTATCAAAACAGTGACTGCATTTTAAACCCCCTTAATTAGATGCTTGCATGTCAATGTCTCCTTTGAAAGTGCCAGGGCCGGAGGGCATGGTGGGGTCTGCTTCTTTCAGAACACTGCTCACAATAGGAACCAACAGAGGCTATTTTTGGACAGCTGATGGTGACAGAGTTTATTCATTTAACAACATGCCCTTCCCCAAAGTGTGTTAGGTATGTGCGTGTTTACATCAAGACATAAATTAATGATGTTGAGGTACAGCGGACTCAACCAGCTACATCATCCGACAAGGAACAGAGTCGGCTTCCAGACAACCAGCATTTTGTAAGTAGCAGCGTCACTGGACGTACCCGGGATGACACTGGATCCCTCCTTCGGGCGGCATTGCTAATTCCAGATTCAGACGGAGCCATCCTCCGGGGGTGGGGGCTCTATTTCTCCCTCCCTGCAGACAGGGGAGCCTTGACCCAGGGCCCCTGAGACACACCAACGAAAGGAGGGCCTGTTCAGCAGAACTTCACATCCTGGGAGGGAGGAGCGTCTGCTGTCCCTGTTAACTGCCTTTCTGGAAAGTGACTCTGTTCTGAGGTCGAGGTGGCAGAATGACACGTCCTGTTACGTGGCACAGAATCTAAACATGCTGTTGTCATCCTGAAGTCATCAGAGTTTAGAAGTTTAATTTGAGGTTTGTTCTTTTAAAAACAGGATGTAGGTTTGGCCTACATTTTTGAGTACGATGGTTGGAAAGCAAAGAGTGCAAGGAGCCCTCAAACCCTCCTGAGAAGGGAGAGGTCCCCCCTCCTCCCTCCAGAGTTGTGGCACCTAAACAGACTGACAAACCCTTCCTCCAACAGGCTCCGAGGCTCTCTGCTCTCCTCCCCGCCCACGCCCACTGCTTCCCTCACATGATGCCGTGGAACAACTCACTCCCACTCACTGTCAGAAGGTCCTCTAGGATGCAGCGACTTCAGGATCCGACGCGGGCCAGCGCAACCAGCGGAGGAGAAAGCTGTGCTCAGGGATGCTGTGCTGGTGCGGCCAGGACGTCATTCCAGTGACGGCTACACTGGGCTGAACTCACCGTGTGCTGGAGAACATCCCACGGGCCCCGAGTGCCAGTCCTATGATGGGCTGGAAGCTTGGACCCATTAGACACCTGTCCTGGCTCCTGATGCTGGGAGGGAAGGGACACCTGCACCGAACCCACAGACCCAGGCTCGGTCTCGGGTCACTGAGTGTCTTCCAGGCTACGGGCGATGTGACCCTTGTTCCAAGCCAGTTTTCAACTCACATCAGATGGGGAGGAGGGCGGAGCCCACAGGGGTGGCTGCCTGCTTTCCCAGAGAGCTCCCACCATCTTTGGGTCCTGTAACTGGAGGGTAAGATGTGCCCCGTGGCCTCACTCGCAGCGCTGTGTCTCGTGCGGAGAGAGCAGACCCGTGCAACCTGTGGGCCCCCGCACGCCTGTCAGGGCGTCGGATTTGCTGTAGAGGCTGCACCATGTTAAATGTGGCAGGACTCCCTTCAGTCGGTGTGTGTTTTTGTTTTTGCTTTTTGAACAATGATGGGTTATAGGTCATTTGGAAGACGGGGGAGAGGTGCCCGCTCTGTGATGGCTTACATGGGGCCCTATTGTCCATAGACAGTCCTGGAGCAGCAAGTCCAATTCTCTCCCCAGTTCTCCTTACAACCAGGTACCCACCTCACCCCGATGAGCCCAGGAGCTTCTGCATGCCGTCAGGACTGACCCGTAAACACACCTGGATGCTATCTGGGAGCACACAGTGCTTTAGATGAGGTTCTGCCTTACAGCTGAGGGATCTACGATTCCAACGAAACTGGCTCGATTTGTGGTGGACTGGAGCCGCTGGCCCAGAGCTCTGCTCTGGGGATTCGCCCAGGCCATGCATCTGATGGTGGACGCAGACTGGCTGGGGACGGGCACCGGGCAGTTCCCCTCAGTGCCCGCTGCTTCCCTCCAGCATCCTGACGAGGCGTTGATAGGTGTCTCTCTCCGCCTGCCACGAGTGGTGGGTCCTCACATACTCCCTGCCATTGGCCACGATTTCTTTTTCTAGCGCAGGGTCCCTCACCAGCCTCTTTGCCAGCTGGACAAACTCCTGCAGAGAAGGGGGCGGAAGAGAAGGAGACGTAAATAATTGGCGAAGGCGGGTTTGCAAAGGCATCCAGAGGTCTGGTCTGCATAGCTCCTGGTCTCTCCTCTGTCCACTGCTTTACTCCAAAGAAAGTGACCTTCAGGGGAGCAGACTGAATGCAAACACTGGGAGTGAGTAAGAAATTATATACATACACATACATATATACACACACGCACACATGCTAGGATGAACGTCCGTGGAAAAATATCAGTGTCATCGAATTATACTTCCTTCGTCTTTCTTCCCTAAATTGCCAAAACTTGTTATTTCTCTTTTCCTTACAGTGACTCTTAGGTTCACAACTTCTTCCCTCGTTTATGAGTATCAGCTGACATATAAACTTGGGTCTTACTCCAGAATCTGAGTCCCTATACACTATCCAATACCACTTCAGCCCCATTTGTTTCTCATTGTATCGGTTCTGCCATCTTTCCTGAGCGAGGAGTGTGTCTTCAAACTATGGGCATCTTCTGGTGTAATGGCGAGCACAGAGTTTCAGAGCCAGATCTGGCCTCAATCTTTCTACAAGACATGACTTAGCTGTGTGGCGCTGAGTGAGCTAGTTAACCTCTCTGAGTCCCACATCAGTCACCCCTATGGGGTCAACAGGCACCTGGTTGGTAAGCCCAGCCTAGCCCCAGACTCCACAAGAGAAGCGAGGGGGAGGGGAGTTAACTGCCCTTGCCATTCCCACCATTTCTTCCGTCGCTCAGCTCCGACGGTATTTCTGCGTATGCTCATGACGTACTGATGCTCACAGACACAGCGCAGTAAGGAAATGGGCCTGCGGACCAGGTTTTAAATCAAAGCCTTTCACAATTGGAAAGAATTAGATTTATGCTGATTGTTGAAGAGTATTTGGAGAGAGGAGGGGAACACTCATTATTTATTATGCTTTCACAGAAGCAAAGAGCAGGGTCCACGAGCCAGGAGGCCTGGGTTTAAATTCACACGTGACCCTCTTGTGAGTGATACTGGGCACATTCTTTAACCTCTCTGCGCCTCAGTTTCCTCATCTTTGAAGCAGGGATAATAACAGCATCTGCTTGGTGGAGTGTTGAGAGGGTCGAGTCAACACCATGCAGACGCAGCACAGGCTTCGCTGTGGTCCCCACCGTGGTTCCCCAAAGCCTGCGTCAGTTCCAGCGAGGGCGCCACACCCGAGCAGCAGACACGGTGCTCTGCTTTTGAAAGGGACGTCCACATATTCTCAAAATTATTGTTAATTAAACACTGAATGCCTTTTACAGCTAGCAATATAAATAGCAGTATTTGTGATGGAGTGAAGTTCTGTTTTTATGTATTATGTATACACCTTACAGTAAACTGGTGTTCTCTTTGTAATAAAAACACGGCATATTTATCCCCGTCTCACTGTGGAACAACGTTCTCATTAGAATTCCCCGAGACGCTTTGCCTTTCGTTATTCTTTCATGACGCCGGTCATGTCTGTGATTGATCGGACGCAGAGACTTTGGCTGAAAGCCACCCCCTTAGGATTTCTCCAGAAAGGCTGAGCATTTTACAACCAAACCCTGAATGATAGCATTTCTAGGAACAGGATGTGATAAAATGCACTTTTTCCTCTCTGCATAAAAGACTGAGCAGAAGCACAGACGTAAGTGAGGCAGCAGGGACTTGGCGAGGACCGAGGCACGCCTTGACGGCCAGCAGAATAAAACCCTGGGTGAGTGGCTGAAAGAAAAGAAGCAGCATCAAGAAAGGAAAAGGAAAACCTCATTCTTGAAGGGTAAGAGGCACTCCCTGAGGCTGTGGGATTATCTTCTTCTGGGCTAAGACAGCTCCTCCATCACGACCGAGTCAACAGGCTGAACGCACGTCTGTGGACAAGGAGCAGTGCGAGCTGGTACAGACCCCGCCACCTGCCTGCCAGGGCAGACTGTGTGCAGAGACGGGGGCAGCCTTCCCTCCACCCCTGTGTGCACATCTCGTTGCAATATGCCTCTCCCACTCCTCCCACTGAGGCGAGGGGTCCATTTGCTCAACTCTTGACTCTGAGTTGTTCCTGTAACTTGCTCGACCAACAGAATATGTCAGAGTTGATGCAGTTTGACTTCCAAGCAAAGCCTCAAAAGCCCTCACAGCTCGCACTCTTGCCACCTGAAGAAGCCTGAGCTGTCTCCCGGAGGACGAGAGGCCATGTGGACAGCGCTACCCAGCAGCCGCCCACAGCAACCACCAGCCACGTGGGGCACGCCTCGTCAGGGACTGAAGAACCATGAAACGAGAGCTGCTGAAAACTTCTGTGGGACAAGTACGTGCGTCAGTCCACCATCATTCTAACCACAGTTCAGCAGATTTCATGTAACCGCCAGCTGTAGAACTCGCCAAAAAACTGATCAGCCGAATGCCAGATACTTATTGGGGTGGGGTGCTCATCGAGGGCCTTATGCAATGTAATGATCTACTCTTTATAAGGCATGAAAGGGTACACAAGCTAAAACAATTAAAAGGAAACAGACACCGAGTGTGGGAATTCCATCCCATAAGAGATCCAGACACGGTTCTACATCAGCTTCAGAAACCCTAGTGCCCACCAGGGCCAAGTGGGGAGGCGGGGGGTGCCTGACCCCAGTGCCACCTGAACGCAGGCCTACACTTGTTGCTGCATTTCCTATGTTATTCCAGAGAAGTCTACATTCTGGACATTTACGTGAAAGTATTCCATGTTAAACACCAACAAGTAATTCAAAAAAATTTTTTTAAATATTGGCACCTGAGCTAATATCTGTTGCCAATATTCTTTATTTTTTTCCCTTTACTTCTCCCCAAAGCCCCCCAGTACATAGTTGTGTATTCTAAATGTAGATCCTTCTAGTTCTGCTGTGTGGGACACCGCCTCAGCATGGGTTGATGAGCAATGTCATGTCTGCTCCCAGGATCCGAACCAGCGAAACCCTGGGCCGCTGAAGTGGAGCGTGCAAACTTTAACTACTCAGCCACGGGGCCGGCCCCAAGAAATTCAAAATTTTAAGTACACAGCAAGCTAAACAAAACACATGTGGGGACCAGAGTGATCCGAGGGCCACAGGTATGCAAGGCCTGGCTTAGGTTGTAGATTTCTGAAGTTTTTAAAAAAAAATCATGCAGAAGAACATGGTTTTGTCTTCATAATAAGATTAGCGGTTGGCCATTTTCAGAGTTTTCTTCCCTTCTGAGTCGTCTGTAACCGCCAGGGAACAACTTCGCCACGAATCCTTTTTTTCTGACTGGCCCGAACAACGGAGGCGCCACCAACACCCTGGGCTCAGAATCAGTGCCAGTTTTACAGAATGGATGTTTAAACCCCAGTGGGGCCCTTCTCAAAACGACGTCCCCTGAAAGCCACGGGGCAGGAGGGCACCCTTCCGTGAGAAGCAGACGCCTCGTGCAGAGAGCACGCGGGAGCTGGGAGACGCAGCATGGGGCGGTTTTACAGAGCGTCGCATTCTGACGGCCTTCGGTGAGTGACAGGCACTTATTCTTCCGAGAGAAGCTGAAGTCAGTCCTGTAGAAACTCCGCACTTCAGGCTCGGTGTGTTAAATTAGCCTCAAAGCTGCTTCTCCAGGGGCTTCAGATACGAAAACCTACCGATGGGCGATGTTGCCGGGAGGTTTCTGAAGACTGTCCTTAAGATCTCTGGCTTTCCTTGGGCTTTTCTGCTTGGACTGTGCAGTCAAGGAAGGCTCAGTCTCTGCCTCTGGTCCTCAAATTTTGCTGTAACAATCTCTTATGGAGCTTGTGAGTGTATACATGTACGTGCGTGCGCATGTGTGTTACGTGTATGAATATACACATATAGATAGACTTCCAAACCCCCGTCTCCAGGATTCTGTTGGGTAGGCTGGGTGGGGTCCAGGGATGCCGTCTCAGTCTGTTCCGGCTGCCAGAACAAAATCGTAGACTGAGTGGCTTATAAACAACAAACTTATTTCTCTCAGCGCTGGAGGATGGAAGTCCAAGACGAAGGGGTCGGCAGAGTTGGTTTCTCCCGAGGGCCGTGAGGGAGACTGTTCCTGGCTTCTCTCCTGGGTGCGTAGACGGCCATGTTCTCCCAGTGTAGATGGTGTCTGTCTGCCCGAGTTCCCTCCTCTCATGAGGATGCCCGTCATATCAGATTGGGGCCCACCCTAACGACCCACTTTAACGTGACTCGTCCTGTAAAGCCCCGTCTGCACAGGGCGCACCACGGAAGCTCCGCCCTTTCCTGGGACAACACCCGAGCTTGTGTCTAACACATCCCCCCAGAGACCGGGACCTGAACACAGAGAACACAGGAGAGGTGGGGCAGAGTGCTGGGTTCTTGGGTGGCTGTTCTAGACTACCGCTCCCAGGTGGCACGTGCGAGGTGGTGGGGAAGGGGCAGTAAACGACCATGAACGTCTCGGTGAGAAAGTTAACCCCCTTTGAATTCTCTCTTGCTCCTGACTGAGTCATAGAGAAAGCCTCCGCGAGGGACGCACGCGTTTCTTAACGCGGCTCTAAGGAGACAGCTGGTCTCTGGCCAAGAAGCGCCGGCAGAGGCCAGAATCGGCCAGAATTCAACAGTAACAACAGCCAGTGGGTATTAAGCTCTTACGACCAGGTAACAGACCAGGTTTCAGAACCCAGGATTTGGGGGATTAATAACGTGGTTAATCCTCTATTAACATATGCCCTCCAGCAGGTCTCAGCAGCCCCGGTAAACAACACACCAGAAATTCCGAATCAACGCGTATGAATAGTCACACCGAGCAGGGTAAACAAGCCACAGATAACGTCACACCAGCTCAGACGAAAGTTGGCCGTCCACTGAGTTTCTGGCAATAAACACACTAAAATTGATTTTTCAAACACTTTTTGGATTTTGGAACTGCAGAAAGAGACTAGGCCTCTGTGCTATTACTATGACTCCTTTCACAGTGAGGGAAACAGGAGCACAGAGAGGTCCTGCCCAAGGTAACCCAGCAGTAAGTGGCAG